TGTTGTTCAGTGGTTGTCGTGTGTTGGTGTGGTTCATAGGTGTTTCTCGTTTCTCGTTTTTTATTAAGATTAGACCGTTTGTTTTCCTTTTGGAATAGTCTTTTTGTTGCTCTTGTATTGCTCATATTTTTTTTTGTATCAATCAGTGTATCTCTATCTACTATAAAGTTTGCCTTAAAACACAACCCATTGAAAACATCGTTTTTCAAGAGCATCTTGGAAGAAATGGATTGACAATTTCGTTCTTGTTGACTTATTTATAGATTGTATCTTGCTGATTTTTTTTGTTTTTGCCCTTTACAGTTTCTCTTTATCTTCTATTGTTTTGATAACATAAAAAAAGGATAAATACTGACAAATATAACGAATGTTTTTTATTGTCGGAGTTCCTTTTTTGACTACCATTCGTCTTCTTTTGTAAAACATCAGCTGCAACTAAAAAATGAGGCATTTTTTTGGAGATAATTAAATGAGCATAACAAAGAAATGCTTGATAGCAAATACAGATTTTTATGTTGTAATGTTACAATATTGTCTCAGGCTAGGGTGAAGGTTGACACGCTGCATTTCTATGCAACTGTCCTAAGTCAGGAGCCTGTTGTTCAGTGGTTGTCGTTTGTTGGTGTGGTTTATAGTTGTTTCTCGTTTCTTGTCTTTTATAAAGATTAGACCGTTGGTTTTCCTTTTTGAATAGTTTTACACTAGTCATTTTGGGACCCTTAATAGCTTGCTGCAGTTTGGTGTTAGCCAAGTTTCCGTGTTGAAGGCCGTACTTTTTCCTATAATTATTAACTTTTCATACATTGTGACTTGGATGGAGAGGTTTCTCATTGGAACTGATACATCTTCTTATTTATAAGATCAAAATTAATTGACTTTGCATGTTAACATTTTTAGTCACATATACCACTTCTGTGTGTCATGTTATTTCATTAAAATCAAGGTTGCTACTAAATCAAATCCATATTTTTATAACATATGGGCAGTAGATCAACTTACTTATGGGTGAAACTGAACGAGAGGTACTCTACAGCTGATTTACATACAGAAGGAAGCCAGTTGCATATAACATGCAGAATTGTAAAAATGGTGCTTTGCTATGTATTTTCAAGTATTTAGTACCTTGAAAATAAAGTACATTGCATGATTTTCCTATCAAATGTATTTCAATATACTTAGATATAACAATTTTAAAGTTAAATAAGGTTATATAAATGTTATGATCAGAGTAGAAAAATATATTTTGACAAAAAGTGTAGTGTCCTTGACTAGCTAACATTTTCCTAGATAAAATGGTTGCAGTAAACAATAAGCTACTTTTCTTTATGGATTTGGCACTTAAAACTAGTTTTTTTTAGAAGCCAGTGCTTAGTGTCCGTAAGCATCAGCATTTATTTTTTTCTAATTAACTAGACTAAGTGTAATTCTAAGGATTATACTTCAGAAATATATTTTCCCTAATTCCTTGACGTGCATTTCACCTTCTTTGTTATATACGTTGATTTTTTTACTTCAGATTTCTATTGAAAAACTTGGTCCTATCCATGTCAACAGGCCATACTTGTTTATATTGGAATTGCCTTTAACAACATATATTTGTTTACAATCCAGCGTCATTCTGTTGCTAAAAATATAAACATGAAAAACGAAATGCATAAATTTAATATGTTACTTATGAAAAGTTGAAAAATTAAAAAAACGTAAGATCTATGCAGTGTCCATAACTCAAATAACTTACAGTTTCTTTATCATTTATGTAATAATGCATTTTCCTCTGTGATTTATAATCATGGACAATAGGTCAACTCTTGATGGGTTTGATGGGCAACATGTATATACACACGTAGTCTTTCTTTATAAGTCGTATTGAAATTATAATTGTGCATTACACTTGTAATAGTTCATTACAGACATAAATTTCCAGAATTATTTCAACATGTACAAGTAGTGTCAGTAACCAGCACTTACTTAGCCAGATACGAATTAAAATATAAAACATTTGAGTTTTTTTCCTTTATCAAAAAAGTTTTACAAACTTCAAGCATTACTAATTCAGGATCACAATTTTTGTTTCATTTGTGCTGACCTTTATTGTTGACCCTAATTGCAACCTCACTGTTCCCTTTATCATGTTTATTGTGTTTCATCAAAAGGCCAAATTTCATTCGTATTTCAGATTTTTATATAAATATATATATATAGATAGATATATAATGATTCCTACTATCCAAATCGGACATACAAAATCAATGAAGCTTTATATTGCCATATTGATTTGTTATATATATATCCAACGCAATCATAGGTTTGAACGTTGTTTTCAATTTAGACTTGTTTATATTTTTTCGTTTGGGCTTGTATTATATTTGCCTTCGGGTTTATATGATCCGTTCATCCTATTTTGACTTTTCAAAATTCAAGAGTCAATCCCAAATTGAGGTAAATTATATGGCCTTTCAAATACCGTTTTGATTCCTAACATCACGGAAGAGACATTAATTGTCGAAATCCGGATATGGTGTACAAATTTTTGCACCTCATGTTTGCGGTATACCATCTTATCCGCAAGTTTATTGTTTTCTGTTTGGTAATAAATTATTTATAAGATCTATTTTGTTACATCTTGTGATCCGTTTATTTGGCAATCGCCAATGGCAGTCAGCAGGGTTTAAGAACATCAGTTGTTCGATCTGCTAGTCAAATGCGTTTTGTTAAAATATACTTTTCACTCATTTGGTCTTTTGGAAAATGTTGTTTGTGCTGTATTTAGACCCCTCTACAAAGATATTTGTTTTTCATGCACACGTATAAAAAATTGCGGTTTTTATCCAACGCAATCATAGGTTTGAACGTTGTTTTCAATTTAGACTTGTTTCTATTTTTTCGTTTGGGCTTGTATTATATTTGCCTTCGGGTTTATATGATCCGTTCATCCTATTTTGACTTTTCAAAATTCAAGAGTCAATCCCAAATTGAGGTAAATTATATGGCCTTTCAAATACCGTTTTGATTCCTAACATCACGGAAGAGACATTAATTGTCGAAATCCGGATATGGTGTACAAATTTTTGCACCTCATGTTTGCGGTATACCATCTTATCCGCAAGTTTATTGTTTTCTGTTTGGTAATAAATTATTTATAAGATCTATTTTGTTACATCTTGTGATCCGTTTATTTGGCAATCGCCAATGGCAGTCAGCAGGGTTTAAGAACATCAGTTGTTCGATCTGCTAGTCAAATGCGTTTTGTTAAAATATACTTTTTCACTCATTTGGTCTTTTGGAAAATGTTGTTTGTGCTGTATTTAGACCCCTCTACAAAGAAATTTGTTTTTCATGCACACGTATAAAAAATTGCGGTTTTTATCCAACGCAATCATAGGTTTGAACGTTGTTTTCAATTTAGACTTGTTTATATTTTTTCGTTTGGGCTTGTATTATATTTGCCTTCGGGTTTATATGATCCGTTCATCCTATTTTGTCTTTTCAAAATTCAAGAGTCAATCCCAAATTGTGGTAAATTATATGGCCTTCCAAATACCGTTTCGATTCCTAACATCACTGAAGAGACATTACATTGTTGTAATTGTCGAAATCCGGATATGGTGTACAAATTTTTGCATCTCATTTTTGCGGTATACCATCTTATCCGCAAGTTTATTGTTTTCTGTTTGGTAATAAATTATTTATAAGATCTATTTTGTTACATCTTGTGATCCGTTTATTTGGCAATCGCCAATGGCAGTCAGCAGGGTTTAAGAACATCAGTTGGTCGACCTGCTAGTCAAATGCGTTTTGTTAAAATATACTTTTTCACTCATTTGGTCTTTTGGAAAATGTTGTTTGTGCTGTATTTAGACCCCTCTACAAAGAAATTTGTTTTGCATGCACACGTATAAAAATTGCGGTTTTTATCCAACGCAATCATAGGTTTGAACGTTGTTTTCACTTTAGACTTGTTTATATTTTTTCGTTTGGGCTTGTATTATATTTGCCTTCGGGTTTATATGATCCGTTCATCCTATTTTGACTTTTCAAAATTCAAGAGTCAATCCCAAATTGAGGTTAATTATATGGCCTTCCAAATACCGTTTCGATTCCTAACATCACTGAAGAGACATTAATTGTCGAAATCCGGATATGGTGTACAAATTTTTGCACCTCATGTTTGCGGTATACCACCTTATCCGCAAGTTTATTGTTTTCTGTTTGGTAATAAATTATTTATAAGATCTATTTTGTTACATCTTGTGATCCGTTTATTTGGCAATCGCCAATGGCAGTCAGCAGGGTTTAAGAACATCAGTTGTTCGACCTGCTAGTCAAATGCGTTTTGTTAAAATATACTTTTTCACTCATTTGGTCTTTTGGAAAATGTTGTTTGTGCTGTATTTAGAACCCTCTACAAAGACATTTGTTTTGCATGCACACGTATAAAAATTGCGGTTTTTATCCAACGCAATCATAGGTTTGAACGTTGTTTTCAATTTAGACTTGTTTATATATATATATATATATATATATATATATATATATATATATATATATTCTTCTAAGAAAAAAATAGAAATTTTCATAATTTAAGCACTTTTATATATCTTGCATTGCTGATCATGGTGCGTGTTCCCTTCACACATAGTTTTCAAGATGTTAGGCAGATGTAATTAATAAATAAAAGTTATTTAAGGTTAGTTTACGAATCAGTCATTTATTAAGTAACTTTTTTTTATTTTTGTTATGTTACTACTAGTATTTCAATCTTCAGAGCATTTGAACAAACACTTAAAATTACAGTTCAAACCAATCACAGATAAACATTCGACTGGTAAATATCTGATTACACTCGACTGTCTAGGGAGTTGACTTATTAGAAAGGAAGCGAACTTTGTTATTCTATCTATTACACAAGTGCTTAAAAGGGTGGAACTCTATACCACCAAGTAAATGAGACAATCAATGATGCATTTGTTGAACTAACGTCCGACATGTACTGTTATATTACAACATAGTAACAATTTTCGGATGTTCGCACTTCAAATACTCACCCTATAAGTATACTTGTATACGCACATATGTTTGCGTCAAGAGTCTTACAGTTTTCCACTGTTTAGTTATCCAAAAAAGAATTCAAATATGTCTGCTGTGCACAATGTCTGGCTTTTCTACATTTCGATCGTTTTCGCAATTTGTAGAGCTGAAGGAAAACCAAACGTACAGATTCCTTTACTGGATAATAATAAAGCTCCTCTATATGCTAACTTTAATATGTCAGGTCTAAATCAACAACTGAGGAAGATCTTTAAACAGGAAGTCGAGCGCATTATACAGAATACAGTTAATGGTAAGTACTTGAGAAAACGTCTAGTAAATAGAACGATGAAAGCAAAAAATGATTTGCACGCGTGATCTTTTTTTTTTTCTTTTCTCCAATAGAAATGGACGAGGGAAAAGTTTGAATAGCCAATAATTGAGTTCAAATGTAAGACTAAACAAGGACGTTAACAGTAGCTTTGTGCATTTAGTTTTAAAGGAAAGTCACATAGTGTAAATAATTCAATCAAAAGTGAGTATTTACAAGGTGTATAGTTTGTCGAACTTTGAAGATGGCAAGTATTCAGCATGAAAGTCAATCGACATAGATGAAAATTTCGGACGTTACTTATAAAAGAGGGGCAAAAGATACTAGAGGGACCGTCAAACTCATAGATCGAAAATAAACTGACAACGCCATGGCTAAGAAATAAAAAGACAAACAGACAAATAATAGTACACAAGACACAACATAGGAAACTAAAGACTAAGCAACACGAACCCCACCAAAAACTGGGGATGATCTTAAGTGCTCTGGAAGGGTAATCAGATCCTGCTCCACATGTGGCTCCCGTCGTGTTGCTCACGTTTTTACAAATCCGGTAAATAGTTTAATTCGGTAGGTCACATTCGAGGTGAAAAAGGAAGTGGATTGTAATTACGACACAAGGAACATATTCGGTATCATCTGTGAAACGGTCATTCCATACCGGTCAACCAACTCGTGATTGCGTCCGTAAAATACCGTTCATCATAGTGTATAGAACGAAGTTAGAAGTAGGTCGAGACAAGAAAGTACGTCGAGGCGAGTTGATGCAGATAATAAGATAATAATTTGCTAAGTATAAACACGTATGAACGCACGCATAAGTCGATCAATAAAGATAATTAAAAACCAAAGTATTCTAGATAACATAAATAAAGGTTAGACTAAATAAGGAAATAAGACCTAGTGTATATATATAAATACGCAGAGACTATAAACACAATAAGCAGCAAATTTTTATTATAAAATATAGAACTTTGAGTATTCAAAATATTTCAAGCGAAATTGTAATTTTGTAGAACGTTATAGCCACGACAGATACATGGTCAATTATACATTACTTTTGAGAATACAGTTTCCAAAAAACTAAAGGAGAGTCTGATATTTTCCTAGTTTGTCATAAATCATGCAATTAAAAACAAGCTTGTGATTTTTTTTTTTTTTGTGTTCTGTTTTTTTAAATATTGAATCTTCTTTTAAAAACAATATTTGTAAACCTCATTTTCTACCGTAATTGAGAAAGCAGGAATGTACAATGCTAATTTCATGTGAAAAATTACAAAAAGTGTGGTTTCATATTGATTATAATGACGAAATTTGTTTGCCAAATTTATTCCTTTTATAATGAACAACAAACATATTTCGTCTACAAATATGTTACCGGTGATTGATAGTTTTACGATTTCAATTGTTTCGCCGAAGTAAATGTAGTTTTTACGAATAACGAAGTGTTAGTGTGAATCGCACATATTAAGTTATTAATTATGAATTAACATGAAATCAATTTATAAATTTTGCAAATGCAGTTATTTATGTAACATTATATTAAACAGTGAGCTGCGAAGAACTATACCAGAAGATAGGGAAAGGCTGTTATTCTATTCACGATGACAACATATCTGGTGATGCAGCATTTGTATGACTTTTTGTATAAATTTGATCGACAGCATGTAAACTTTATTTAGTTACAAAAACAGGGCCATTGTTATCCAGTTACTCTTCCAAACAACTTTACGAAAGCCGACCCTTACATTTAACATTTCATTGTTTCGTGATTTTTTTAATAATTTTTGTATCATTGTCCTTTCCAATTATTAGGAGCACGTTGTCTGTGCACCTGTCCACCTTATTCCCCTTCTGTACACTACTTTTTCATAAAAAGGTTTTTATATTCAAATGTATATGATTTATATTGTATTTGATAACAATTATGTCTTGTGCATAAAGAGTAAAATTTAGTAAATTTTTAAAATCAAATCAAGACCGATTTGTCATTTCTAAACATTTAAAAACATGCATGAGAACATCGGAAACTTGTATAACATACAAACGGATATGTCTTACGTGAAACAGGATTACTATATCAGAGGTTCTATGTTGAATACTTTTAATTTTTGTATCGTTTACAGAAAGATTACACATGATTGTGTTCAGAGTTTACACCTAAAAAAACATTAGATATGCGCTAAACATAGTTATGTACATCCACTGGTGGATATGTGCCTAATTGGGAATCCCACCACATCTCCCAATTTCTATATTAATTATTAATTATTTGGAAGTAAATAGTAAATATGAATTGTTTATATAAAAATACTAAAGAACATTAGGCCATCACACCAAATTAAAGGTGAAATACCACCAGATCACAGTACGTCACATCCGGTTGAATACGAAAATAGGTCGAAAAAAAATATTCCCTTGAATTTGACAGTTGTAGGTAATTGATCATACATTTCATTGCAGTAAAACATTTCTAAGTCATACACATATATCTTGGGTATTTCAAAGCACAATTTTTTTGGGGGGTTTCTATAGAATATTTTGAAAACTTGAGGTTACATGGTTACTAAAGCTTGTACACAGGTTAAAAAAGGGGGAAAATTTGATTGGTTAACTTCCAGTGATGGTAATTTTCTTATATGCAATGAAATAATATGTGAAATTTTTTCTATAGTACTGGACAGAATAAAACTTTACTCATGTCAAGTATTTCTTTATTTGAAACAAAGATGAATTCTGCATAATTTTTTGAAAAGTGCAAATTTATCAAAGACTAATAGGGGAAAAGCAATGGTGGTATTGCATCTAATATGGGAAGCTGTACATGCACCTTTGACCTTGTGAGTACTCTCATGTGTTAAAATTTCTTGCTATTTAAGTGAAATATTACAAATAATGAAATATTCTGAGTGGATTGAGTCTCCAAAACACATTTTATGAGAAAATTTCCTTGAAATAGGATTTTACCATGAATACTAAGTTTTGGGGAACTTTTTCTCCTTTTTTTTTATATTCTGCTATACAAAAATGTTTTCCTAAGAAATGCTTTAATAATTTTATAGTTTAAAGAAAATGAAATTATTTTTAAAGCAGTAACAACAAATTGTTCACCAAAAGAGAAGCTTTTTATGTCCCTCTCTGGAGCGCGGCGTAAATTTAAGTTTCACGTAAGGACTTTTTGGAACCTTCTTGGAGACGGTAAACTTTTATACGAATAGTTCATTCAGCTTGAATACTTCAATTAATCATTTATGATGACTTTTCTATCATAAATGAGTGAAAGTTACACCAAACATTTTAATTATTGGCCAAAAAAGTAAAAAAAATTGAGGAAATGAGAGGTATAAATGGACCAACAGAGACATTTTAAGGAGGACAAAGAGGTCCATTAGTAGTATTTACCATCCTAAAGTCATCTTTTGTATCATATTCAACTGTTTGTAGGCAGATGATATAAATATCTAATCATTTATTGGTCCACACTATATTCTATCATGATGTGGCTTGGTTTGGATTTTTCGAAAAAATTTTGCTCGAATCGCTGTAGATGTCGTCTTACATTAAACTAGATTTTTCTCAAATTATTGAACTGATTATGACAAAACTTGACAGGGATGCTTGAAATAACCAGAATTACAAAGGAAAAAAGTCACATTCATTTTATTTAACCAAAAAGTCTTCTTTAGGTGTAATACCACCAAATCATAGTACGTCACATCCGGTTGCATACGAAAATAGGTCGAAAAAAATATTCCCTTGAATTTGACAGTTGTAGGTAATTGACCATACATTTCATTGCAGTAAAACATTTCTAAGTCATAAACATACATCATGGGTATTTCAAAGCACCGTTATTTTTTTTTTTATTTGGGGTTTCTATAGAATATTTTGGAAACTTGAGGTTACATGGTTACTAAAGCTTGTACACACGTTAAAAAAGGGAAAAATTTGATTGGTTAACTTCCAGTGATGGTTATTTTCTTATATTCATTGAAATGTTATGTGAAATTTTTTCTATAGTACTGGACAGGATAAAACTTTACTCATGCCAAGTATTTCTTTATTTGAAACAAAGATAAATTCTGCATATTTTTTTGAAAAGTGCAAATTTAACAGAGACTAATAGGGGAAAATCAATGGTGGTATTACACCAAAACAATATTATATAAGCTAGCTTTATTCATGTGGATTTCGCGGCTAGACAACTATAAGTATCATGAAATTAAGTGTATTGATGATATTTACATGGGAAAAATTGAAAACAACACGTTTAATAATTTCATGCGTCCGAAGCGCTTTTCTGGATTTACCTTCATTAGGAACATTCAAAGCCAAACATTTGAAATCCGAGAGATGTATAAGTACCGAAACAGTTGAAGAGCTATATGACAACAATACCTAAAACAAATAGCCTAATTCATCTAAGGTCAACTTTGCCTGAGGGAGTTGAAACTTTAGTTTCTTTATAATTTCAAAATTTAACAACGGACAATTTTAGAAAGGTTTGTTATAAATCATGTCAGTACCAAAGTACAGACTACTGAGCTGATGATACCCTCGGGGACTGATAGTCCACCAGCAGAGGTATCTACAAACCTTAGTTTCTTTATAATTTCAAAATTTAACAACAGACAATACTAGAAAGGTGTGTTATAAATCATGTCAGTACCGAAGTACTGACTACTGAGCTGATGATACCCTCGGGGACTGATAGTCCAACAGCAGAGGTATCGACGCAGTGATGTAAAAAATTGAAAACAACACGTTGATAATGTTATGCGTCCGAAGCGCTTTTCTGAATTTACCTTCATCAGTAACGCTCAAAGCCAAATATTTGAAATCCGAGGGATGTTTAAGTACCGAAACAATTGAAAAGCTATATGACAAAAATACCTAAAGCAAATAGCCAAATTCATCTAAGGTCAACTTTGCCTGAGGGAGTTGAAACTTTAGTTTCTTTATAATTTCAAAATTTAACAACGGACAATTTTAGAAAGGTTTGTTATAAATCATGTCAGTACCAAAGTACTGACTACTGAGCTGATGATACCCTCGGGGACTGATAGTCCACCAGCAGAGGTATCGACAAACCTTAGTTTTTTGATAATTTCAAAATTTAACAACGGACAATACTAGAAGGGTGTGTTATTAATCATGTCAGTACCAAATTACTGACTACTGAGCTGATGATACCCTCGGGGACTGATAGTCCACCAGCAGAGGTATCGACCCGGAATGTTCCCATGTAAAATATCGATTTTAAAATGTTTGATTTTTCAATGGTTTAATTATATTTTGCTTACCTTTTTTTTGTTTTGCTTTCACATTGTGGTCAATATAATAGAATTATATGGGACTGTCATACACGTGAGGGGTGTCACAAACTAGGAAACCTGGTTAATTCCACCATTCTTTACATAAGGAAATGCATGTACCAAATCAGGAACATGATAGTTATTTGAGCTTTTGATTTTTCTGTTTATTAAAGGAATTTCAATTTTGTATTTTGCTTGGAGTTTGGAAGTTAGGTCTTTAATTTTTCCGTGGAAAGACCCATTGATTTTCTTCTGATTAGGTCTTTCGACTTTTCTGTGGAAAGACCTATTGTATTTGTTTTGATTATTATTATTATTATTTTTTTTTCCGCCAAATTTTGTTCTTACGATAAATGTTTCTTTCGCAATATGTCGCTCAGATTTCTCATATTGTATCGTATAGTTTATGCGCTTTTAAATTCACCCTGCTAAGCCGAACAATTTTCTTTGTAAGAGTTATTTCCCTATTCACTGTTTATCAAGTGTGTGCATCTCCTTCGTAAGAAAAAAGATATCGACAAAATTAAGTTCTTTTTTTCTAAATTGTTCGTTACATCCTCAGGAATTTTTGGCTAATTTGGATCGAAGCGATTCGATTAAATTTTATAGGAGTTATCTACCTTTACCAAAAAAATTTGTCGGTATGTTTTTTTAACTCATAAACCTTTAATCGTATAACCCTGGAATCTTTTTATTTGAGGCCCCTAGGTCCTAACGAAAATAAAGTCAAGGTCAAAGGTCAAGGTCAAGTTCTCAATTTTGTCTTTTCCTTGTTTTTGCATTTTCTCCAATACTTTTAAAGATATATATGAAAGAACAAGTGCAAAATGTTTGCTTTATTGTAATGAAGATATGTTACATTTGGTTTGAAACAATCTAATATCATCTTATAGGAGTTAGTGCCCCTGAAATGTCTACTTATAAGGTTAATTGATTATTACTTTAACTTGGTTCAATTATAAAGCCATATGACCTTTAACAAAAGGTTTGGTGACATATGACTTTGAAAAATGTCAACCGGAAGTGACCTTGAAAAAACCGGAAGTAGCTTGTTTTGCACTTTTATATTGAAAAGTACTCAGAATCCATATATTTTGTAATATAAATACATGAACTTATCACTAAGGACCAGAAATGACTTTCGATAAACCGGAAGTTGCCAATTATCTCCTGTTTTACATGCAAAAGTATATAGAAACTATATATTTTTGGAATTAGTGTAAAATAAGCTATCAAATGAGACCGGAAGTGACGTTTACTTCACCCGAAGACGCACATTATCTCCCTTATTTCACTCAATAGTATATAGAAACCATTCATTTATCACATCAGTTTGAAGAAACTTATGATTGTATACCAATTTTAACTTTGAGTAAACCGGAACTAGCTTCTTTTCAATAAGTTTGAAAATTGATGTAGAAAGACCTTCAATTGTTCTCTGAACAATTGGTTTTTAATTATTTTTTTTTTTCCGTCTAATTTTTTTTCTTTCGCTGTTTGGTTGTTTCGCAATATGGCGATTTGATATTTGGTATATGATATCGAACAGTTTATGCGCTTTCAAAACTGACCCTGCTTAACCGAATACTTTCCTTTGTAAGAGTTATCTCCCCCGAACAATATTTTTATTGTGTTTGCTACTTCTTCGCAACCGTAAAAGATTACGACAAATTTATTTTACCAAATTGCTCGTTATATCTTCAGGAGTATTATTTGAACCGAAGCTATACGGAGACTCCATATGAAAGTTATTTCCCCTTATGCATTTGATATAAGTAATTTGCAATGGTAAATGAAAAACCAAAAGTGTTAGAGACCTAGGGTCTTTGGATTTCAGGTCATTGGTCAAAAAAAAATAAAAATGGGTCAAGGTCAAAGGTCAAGGTCAAATTATAAATTTTGATTTTCGCTTATTCTCACTTCTTTTCATAAACCGTACAAGATATTGACAATATTTGTTTATTAATTTGTCATTTGCGACATGTGGTAACTTCTGAATTATGGTTAAGAGGATGCGTAGACATTAAATGGGAGTTTTACCCCTCTTATATTTAGAATTATGCGTAAAGTGATATAACTCATTAACTATGCATATTAAAGACCTAGGGTCTTTTGATTTGAGGTTCTTGGTTTATGACCTTGAAATTGAGGTCAAGGTCATAGATAAGTTTGGCAGTCTAGATTTTGACCTTTGGTTTAAATTCATATTTATACATAATAAAGTCAAAGGACTTCGTACATTAGGTTACAAGATATGTGACCTTGAAAAACAAACCAGAAGTGATTTTGTGTAAACCGGAAGTGGCTATTTTTTGTACTTATTGCATATAAAAGTATACATAGCAATATATTTTTGAAAGCAGTGTCAAATAAATAAAAAAATAATACCGGAAGTGACATTTTTCCAAATTACCTCTCTTATTTCAAACAAAATAATATAGAAACCATATATTTTTGGAATCAGCAAACAATGAGCAATCATTTGACACTGGAAATGACATATTAAACCGATTTTTAATATCCGTATCAAAATACATCGTAAGAAGTGGAAAGACCTCCAATTGTTCTCTGAACAATTGGTTTTTAATTTTGTAATTTTTCTTTTTACTTATATCACAGGCGAGCTGTACAGACCCTGGTGCATACCTTGCTAATTTTGAAACTCTTGAAGAAGCCATGATCATGAAATTGTTCCTTCAGAAGAAGAATTCAGGTAAAGGTTTTGAAATATTTGCTGAAGTGTTTGTTTACTTACAAACCAAGAATTATCGATTGTAAACTATACCGTCTTCTTGATAAAAGAATACAAATATTCAAACTAAATGCATGTTTAAACATTGAGGAGCTGGTCAAACCAAAAAGTACCAAAGTAATAACTAAAGACGCACAAGAAATCAGAACTATGATGATAAAGATATAATCGTGGATTTAAAAATCATGGATGTGACAACGGAAGTTACCTTGGAGGTTATATTTGTGAAATATAACATGTGATATACCATTTTTTTAAATATGAATGAATAACATAAACTTAAATTATGTGTTTATGTTTTTTTCTTTAGAAAAGAGGAACTCTGTTGGACGTTCTTTATATAAATGAGGTAGCAAAAGGCGTTGATAAAAAAAAACGACTAAAAGACACATAAGAACAAACAAGACGATGCTTTCTTTTCATAGTGTTCTTTTCCTTGAAGGCGATATTATGTTGGCTCTTTTTTTATGGAGTGTCTTTTTTCTAGTTTTTTTTAATTTCAATAGAGGAAATGCATTAATTATGTGTATTACTTACAAACTTACATACTTTTAATGCAGGAACATCTAAAATGTGTGTCATACATTTTCTAAAATTGTCACTTAGTTTTATTTCATACATTTATTCATTGTGGAAGTCTGAATTAACGTGCAGGAGCCTTATACACGAGGGTATTTTGCTTCCAAATTGAACAATGATATGATATTTAAGTTTTAAAGCTCACAATTTAGGGAATTGTTTTTCAAATCTGTCTCCTTGGAATATTACATAGTTTATACAGGTTAGAATTGTACTGTGATTGTTTAGTCACTTGGACTTTTATCGTTTTGGATAAATACCAATTTGCTTATTTATGGTTTGAACTAATACTTCAATGTCATATTTGTTTTTCTGTATATTTTTGTTAGCCAAGACACCCGATAATAACGATAATATATTTCTCCTGGTTTGTGACGTTGTTGTGTGGAATATTTTATTGTCAGCAGATTAGGTAGTCGGAGGGTTCTTTTAATAACTTAACATACTATTAAGTACGATTAATTAATTTCTTTAAAAACATTGCTACAACTTGCAGATGCAATACAGCCAGATTCGATCAACCCATGCATCATAACGAGGCTAAAAATCCTTTTTACGGTGACTTCTAGTGCTTACTTCTCCCGTTTGTCTAATATGTTCAAGTAATAAACAATTATTTTTAATTGCAAGGTAGATATTATTAAATGTTTCGTCATATCTTATTTTGACACGTTCTTTTGTTCAAATTACAAAATTAGCAGTGAAGTCATGTGTAACTGAATAAACAAATTAAATAACATCAGCAAAAAGCTTTTTTATTTCAGTCAAAATTCTCAGAAATACATATTTTTTTGGTAAATCGGAGGATCTTAATGTTCCAGTTTTTAACGAGAAGCCCAATATGTCAGTTTTTTTAAAAATTATTCTTATTCTTTTCCTGGATTGAGTGAAAATTTTATAAAAAAATTAGACTGGAGATCCGAAATGACAATAGAATAGCAAAGCTGAATATAACTCAACAAAACCATAACATCAAACAAAACACGTCAAAAAGTCAAACAACAGTTAACATATAAATCCACTACGATAAAAGGATATTCTACTCCAATATGAGCTTGAAGAACATAATTATACACATAGCTCTTAACCATGGGAAAGATGTGTGCGCTAGTTATTATGAAATTGATAACATGACTAAGTTTTTCATTTTTTTTTTGTCGACAAGGTTTTATCGTATGACATACAGTATAAATCATTTCATTTCAAAAATACTGACTAAATATCTAAAAATACCTTCGGAAATTAACAGTCTACCAGCAGTGTTCTCGACCCGTGCTAGTAAATGAAAGTACATGCAAAAGAGAGGCGAAAGATACTAAAGGGACATTCAAACTCATAAGTCGAACATAAACTTACTATGTCATGGCTAAAACGACATGAAAGAAAAAAACCAACAAACAACAAAAGGTAACAAAACACAAAACAGAACATAGAAAACTGAAGACTGAGCAACACGAACCCCACAAAAAACTGGGGGTGATCTCAGGTGCTCTGGAAGGGTAAGCAGATCCTGCTCCACATGTGGCTCCCGTAGTGTTGCTCATGTTAGTACAAACCGGGTAATAAGTTTAATTCGGGAAAAAGGGGATGGGATTGTAGTGACGAAAATTGGAACAATTCCGCTTTCATCTGTGATACGGATGTTTCATAACGGTCAACCAACTTTTGATGGCGTTCGTAAAATTAACAAAGGGATAATTGCAACCTTACCACTTAGAACTATTGGTTTATAAGCTTTCATGAGAGCAGCAACCCTCTATCAAGGAAATCATGATAGGAAATACAAGCCCTGGAATATCGTAACAACTGGGAGATATATACTCGTATGTTGGCGCTGCTGGAATGTTGCTACATAGAAATCTTTTTGGTAAAGGATGTCCCATTGTTTAGGCCAGATTACAGTTTAAAACAAAGCATTGTTAAAAATGAAATACAACTGACACAAAGCACATGCATAAGTTTAATAGAACTGACTAAAAATTGAACTTTTAAACAAATAAAAACATCAAAAACCTTTCATGTTGAAGTTAACTGGTGCAATACAATTGCTATCGTTAAAAATAGTATTATGTAAATATTTATTTGGTTCGAAATTACAAAAATAAAAATATTTTTTTTTAAATAGAATAAAAACTTATTGTTTAGCTAATCCGCTTTAAAAAATCAGATAACTGGATTTGCAGTTGATAGAAATAATAATTTCCAATATCAGAATATAATTAATATAGGAAATTTAATAAAACTTTATATTTCGTATACAATGGATTTTATTTGCACATTTAAATGTTGGTTAAGGAAGTTCGCTACTCAGTTTCAAAATAACAAGATTTTCATAACATTAGTATATATTGATAAGGGATTAATAAAGGAACAAAAAGAGCAAAAATAAAATATAGGTCAATGTGCATGTTTTCGAGATATTAGCCATTGAAATTTTGGCGGGAAAATATTCTCTCTTGACTTTTCATAGCTTTATTATTGACAAATAAAAGTTCTCAAAAACTATTAGAAATAATTAAGATTTTATAAGACTTTTACAGATGGCTTATAATTATGCATGTGAGAGATTTTTAAAAAGAAAAATAGGGGTCAATGGGCAAAATATTTTAAGGCATTCAAATAGATAAAACAAGAGGATTCCGAAAATCTGACAAAAATTCCTAAACATGACAAGCGAACTTCCTTAATTACATACTATTTGATGTAGAGATTTAGACAAACAACATTAAATGTGGTATAATGTTTAGTGTTAACTCAGATTAAAATTAATCCAAATTATAAGAAAGACCTAACATTACCAAGACTAACCCATAAACGAAATGCCTAAGAAAAAGGCCAACTATTTACCATAGACAGTGAACTGTCAATGCAACGAATTTATGATTCAAACTAATCAATAGATAATTTAAGCCTTTAGCAATTTTCAATATTGTAAGGTTGTAAAATAACGTAATCACGTTCTGCGTGATAAGTACTTGCAAATGGTCGTACGAAATCATGAAGAAAATATTCACATTATCTTATATACCCGATGTGTACAATAAAGTTTACCCAGTGAACAATTTCGAATGTAAAGGAAATCTAAACCTATGTACAGATGAGTACACATTTTAAGTGAAAACATTCATAGCATGTAACTAATTGTAAACCGGTTTTGTGAGAGCCACATTTGTTGTAAACGCGAGTTTTGATCTGTGTTCGTCGTGCAAGCGAACAAATGTATCATTTGGAATGACAGGTTCATGCCACTTTATTCTGGAACAAATTCCGATTGCGTATACATGTATCATATAAAAAAATTAGAACAATAGGGAAAGCAAAACAGTAAAAGATTAGCAGAAAATAGTTTGAATATTTATATTTTAATCGAATTTAATGGCAGAAGAGTTGCAGCCGAATTGTATGTACACCGAATAACTGGCTTGCTCTCTTGCTGACGTACAGCCCATACATTGTCAGAATTAACCATCACATATTTTGTAATATTACATATGCTGTAGCATTCTACCTTTTTCATTGGTTATTACGACCACGTGATGCAAAGGATATAAAGTATATAGACTCTATGTTTCTATTTAAATATATATTGACGGTCAATATTAAAAATCTTGCAAAACGGTATGTTTCTATTTATGTGACAATATCTTAATATATATACCCGAAGTGTACAATAAAGTTTACCCAGTGAACGATTTCGAATGTAAAGGAAATCTAAACCTATGTACAGATGAGTACACATTTTAAGTGAAAACATTCATAGCATGTAACTAATTGTAAACCGGTTTTGTGAGAGCCACATTTGTTGTAAACGCGAGTTTTGATCTGTGTTCGTCGTGCAAGCGAACAAATGTATCATTTGGAATGACAGGTTCATGCCACTTTATTCTGGAACAAATTCCGATTGCGTATACATGTATCATATAAAAAAATTAGAACAATAGGGAAAGCAAAACAGTAAAAGATTAGCAGAAAATAGTTTGAATATTCATATTTTAATCGAATTTAATGGCAGAAGAGTTGCAGCCGAATTGTATGTACACCGAATAACTGGCTTGCTCTCTTGCTGACGTACAGCCCATACATTGTCAGAATTAACCATCACATATTTTGTAATATTACTTATGGTGTAGCATTCTACCTTTTTCATTGGTTATTACGACCACGTGATGCAAAGGATATAAAGTATATGGACTCTATGTTTCTATTTAAATATATATTGACGGTCAATATTAAAAATCTTGCAAAACGGTATGTTTCTATTTATGTGACAATATCTGAATATATATACCCGAAGTGTACAATAAAGTTTACCCAGTGAACGATTTCGAATGTAAAGGAAATCTAAACCTATGTACAGATGAGTACACATTTTAAGTGAAAACATT